TTGTTCCCCTTTCTGGACAAGATCCTCCAAATGATGTCAGAGGAAAAGGAAGGACAATTGGATTGGGGCTGATAAAGCTAGTAATATCACAAGAGGGTGGCTCCACCTCTGTTCTTTGCATGACTACTTTGTCAACCACAATAAATCTATTCCAGGACAACCAAAGTGTTCTTTTCACAGAAAGGAAAGGAGATCTATCAAAGAGCAGAGTGACTGAGATGCCTCCGATAGCCACTAGGTCAAAACTGAAACAAGAAAACAAAACATTTTCCTTCATTCCGATCCCATACAGTTCAAACATACCCTTTCGAAACCACTTGTTTTCAACTTGGCATTTCCATTAGGTAGCTTCTTCTTTTTTCTTTCATTTGGCTATGCAACAAGTATAATCATGAATAGGCCTATTAGTATGATTCTTTTTCATTTTGTCACCACCATACAAAATATACAGCTGAGGAACTGCTTTCTCAGGTGGCTTTCAGGTGCTTCTGCCAACAGCTTCCTCCCTTAAACCCATTTATTTACAGGACCCTCTGTGTAGTTTCATTGCAGTTTCAAGGTGGTTTGTAACAAGATATTATTTTAAACTCAGTAGTTTGGATCCACACTTCCCCTATCCTCTATCTCTTTGCTCAGGTCCTGTAGGCTCAGGCCCATGGCCTCCCTGACTAAGGGCCTCGGCAGACGACTAATAGAGTCGTCTTCAAGGCCCTGAAGAGGAGGGGCAGCCGCATGAGTGGCGCCCCTTCCTCTTCCTGAGGTTGCCCTCAGAGTCGCCGGCCCTCCGCACGGCCGGCGCTCCGGGGATGACCTCACGCCGCAGCGACCACATGCGCTGCAGCGGAAGAGTCAGGGAAAGTGCGCCCGCCGCTTTTAGGGCGCACTTTCCCTGACATCTAAAAGGAGCGCCAATTTGGAGCTCCTTTTAGAGACGCCGCAGGAGTGCCACGGTGCGGAGGCTGCGGTCCCGTGGCGCTCCGTCTGGCGGCGTCTCCGGGGCCTCCGTCTGCTGAGGCCCTGAGTCTATCCATCTGACATGTGTTCTTCCTCTTTTCCCCCTTCCATCCACCTTCCCTAGCATCATGGTCTTTGAGTCATGCCTTCTCATGATGTGCCCAAAGTACTACAGCCTCAATTTAGTCCTCTTGACTTCCAAGGAGAGGTCAGGCTTGATTTGTTCTAGGAGCCAATTGTTTGTCTTTTTGGCCATCCATGATATCCTGAGAACTCTTCTCCAGCACCACAAGCATTTAAAAGAGTAGGAGAGAGTAAAAATAGGTCAATGAAGGAAAGGTCTAGGAAAACACAAAGCTCTTTGATGCTGAAATAACAACAAAAGCCCTTTCACAGTACAAAATTATAGCATTATGATTCCACCTTAATTGCCATGGATTCTTATGGAATCCTGAGACTTGCAGGTTAGGGATTCCATAGTCATGGCAGTTCAAGGGGAAATCAGAGTTTTGTAATGATACAGAAACCCATGATACAAAGATAGAATTATCTCTCTGGAGAATTCAAAGGAATGAAACAGACAGGCAGGAAAAAGTGGCCTGGAACTGCCTTTTCCGAAGCCACATTGAAACCCCACCAACCGCACCACTGGCTCTAAGGTGGCTGAAGAGCACATGTCATGACTACATGGCACAGCTTCAAGCCGTGCCACTGGGTATTTTTTTTTTTTTTACTGTCACCACCACCATCCCTACGAAGGTGCACAGGACTGCACTGCTAGTGACTGCCACCCCATTGCATGGCTGTCCCTGTGAATTTGCACACATTTGCATGTGCAGCCCTTCACCGGGACGGCATCAGAACAGAGGTGTGTCCCTGCAAATGCCAGCAAGGTGCAATCATGCTTCCTTTCATCCTCCCCTTCATCCTATGCCCCTTCTTTGACGGTCTGTTTTTGTATGTTGTACTCATCTCCATGAGAGGTTCCATGGTTTCTCTTTTGGGCACTGATGCTCTGTTCCTTGTGTACTTAAGCTCTGTTTACATACACAGTTAGAGTTAGGGTTTGGAAAGAGTACCCCTTTAGAGCTATACTGGAGTTGGTGCATTTATACACACATGCAAAGGTGTGTACTTTCTGGGAAGAAGCAGGAAAAAGCAGCTTCTTTTTGAAACAGCTTTTCTCCCCATAAGATGGCTAAAGGGCACTTTCAGGCTGGCTTCATAGCATGCATCATCTAAATGCCTCACCTTGAAGCTGGCCTGAAATCTGCTTATTTTGCCCATCTATGAGGGGTTGCAGACTGCTAGAAATAGTGCAAATTGAGTCCACTTTTAGGGTTAGGGTTAGTGCTAGGGAATCATGGGAATTGTTTTTTTTTCTGAGACATTGAGCCTTCTCTGTCAGAGAACTCTGGTGCCACAATAAAATACAGTTCCCATGATTCCCTAACCCTAACCCTAATCCTAAAAGTGGACTCAATTTGCACTATTTCTGGCAGTCTGCAATCCCCATATTTTGCCCCAAAGATATATCTGTGTGAGTCTGTCTCAAAGGTGCTAAAGATCTCTCTACATACTCTCTGGAGAAAACATTCCACAACTGAAGACGCATCAGCAGATCTTGGGAAAACAAAAGGTTTCCAGAAGCACATACATCTTCCTTATCAGGAAAACTCCTTAAGAGGAAAGAACTCACCAAAATCTCAGTGAAGAGTAAGCATGGTTTATGGGCATAGAACAATGCTTGTGTTTTGGAGTGGGATGGAAAATCAAATGGTGGAGTAAATGGAATTGAAAGGTTGGAATTTATGAAAAGAGGTCACAATGTATTGCATCTTTTTGTTGTTGTAGGCTCAACCTGTATTTATAACTGAGCTGGTGGCCTGTGACAGAGAAGAACTCTCTGTATTACAGAAGAGGTATGGGGCATAAAATTGTATTAGGCCAAGGAATTGATATGGTTCCTTATTATCGGAAGACTTTAACATCTATAGTCGTGTAACGTAAGGCAAAGTAAATAGATATTTCATTCCATTACTAGTTGCATCTCTGATGAAACTCTTTGATGGTAATGAACTGTGATAGAGAGTCAGGCTTAATTATGCATATTCCATCACATTCCCCCAAATGATACACAAGAATATTTGTGGAGCATACATCCGAGCGCATTTTAATGCTCCAGCTCTGTCAAGAGATAGGTAAATCAGAAATCATAATTAGGTAACTTGCTACTTCGACACTTTAAAATCACTGGAAAGATGGAATACACATTAACTCCATTACTTATAAGACTCAGCACTGCAATGGATTATTTTCTTGCAGCTTTACAATATTTATGCAGCTGATGCAGTAAAGAAAAATCTTACCATGAAATTCTCTACATCTGCAAGTTTTAATTGGTTCAGGTGATTAATCGGCAGGCCCCGGCTTTAATCAGGAAGGGCAAATCTCAGTCTGAGGGTTGTACGTTAAGGGCACACTTGTTTATTTCTTTTAACCTATTTTTCTCACACTACACTAGCAATAATAATAATAATAATAATAATAATAATAATAATAGAAATAGTGAAGGGAGATTTCTTTCCAAATAAGGAATGGTAACTTTTCTACATTTTAAATTATGTCAACGTTCTTATACTATCTCAGAATGGTGTGTTTCAGTGATAGGAAAATTAATTTAAATTTAATCAGTTAATTAATCAGCTGCGAAGCAAAGGAGTCCTCTCTTTCTCTTTTTTTAAATTGGTTGATGGACAGTTTTGGCTCTTTGACTTTTTTTAAATCAGCAAGTCAACCATGTGCTTTGCTAAAATGAAATCAAGCTTTCAAATGGGGTAGATGAAGTGGTCTCTCACCTTCCATCCTGCCGACTGATGGTGTAACCATAATCGCTGTGGTGTTGGAAACTCACATTCACCCCAACCAATGGCGTTCCATCTATGGCTACTACTTGTCCTCGGACAACACAAGCACGCCTGTTTCAAGATAGAGAAAAATGAGCCTAGATTAACAGAAGAAATTGGGAGATTGATAATACTGTATGCTATTTATATATTATTTAACCCCTATCACACACACACGTCTTTAAACATATTGGCAAACTACAATCATGGGGTACCCCCCCCTACATGCCCCCTTCACCCCTTTTATCTCAAGCCCCCATGTTGGACTGTCTGTTTTGTGTATGTTATAATTACACCCATTGCATTATTGGTAACCTGCCATGTCTGTCATACTTGCATGTTGTATTCATTTAATTGTGTAAATAATAATAATAATAATAATAATAATAATAATAATAATAATACTTTCATGTTTTTTCTTTCTCACATTGCTGCACTTGCACCATGCTGTTTATATGCTGGTGTGATGGTCCACATTTTCCACATTAAGTCTGAGAATCTGCTTTTTGCTCCAGTTTTTAGTCCCAGAATGTGTCTTTGTACCAATTTCATCCCGCTTTCATCTCATATATCATCTGAACTGCATGGCTTCAAAGGGTTTTGAAGCCACTTTATTTGGCCAGTGCAAGCAATTCCTAAGTAGCTGATGTAGAATTCTGGCCTCGATTTTTATTTTATTTTTAAGTAAAGGAGACCTTTAAACATTTTTCCCTGGGTCCAGAAAATCTGATTGTGGCCGTGAATACCTTTCACAAAATTGTAATGCTAGGCTTTATTTCTTTCTTTATGACATTCTCTGAGAGTGTCAGCAAGCCTGGGGATAAGACAGATCCAACAGACAGTGTTGACTTGGCCTTTCAAAAGGCTTTGGACAAAGTCCCTCACCAAAGTCTCCAGAGCAAACGTAGCAGTCACGGGATAAAAAGAAAGGTCCTTTTATGGATCGATAACTTGTTAAAGAACAAAAAGTAGAAATAAATGGACAGTGCTTGCAATGGAGAGATGTAAACAATAGGAATCCCCAAGGAGTTGTATTTGAAGCAGTGGTTTTTTATTTGTTCAAAAATTATCTGGACAAGTGAGTTGGCTACGTTTGCTGAGAATACCACACTATTCAAGGTAGTTAGAACAATAAGGGGAACCTGTGTGGTTTAATGGTTAGAGTGCTGGACTAGGACTCAAGGAGTCCAGGGTTCAAATCCCCGCTCAGCCATGAAAGCCCTACTTGGGAAAGTCACAATCTTTCAGCACAGTAGGAAGGCAATGGTAACATTCCTCCAAAAAAGGCTTGCCAATAAAACTCTATTATAGAGTCACCATAAAAAGGACATAACTTGAAGGCACCTAATAACAAGAGACAGTGAAGAACTCTAAAAGGCTTTCTTGGAGGAATTGGGAATCAATCTAAAATGGCAAATGAATTTCAAATGGAGAATCCTTTTTGAATACAGGGAGGAAAATATTCCTAAATTTACCTATATATCCTGAGTTCACATTGACTGACAAGGAAAGGTAACACAGACTTGGGATTGATAATTCAACAGTAAACTAGTATTTAATAGATGTATAAAAAAGTTGAACAGGATAGATAAGCATTTTGTTTATTTTTTTAGCCTAGATTACTGGTTTGTAATAGTTGGACTCAATTTCTCAGTCCAGCAATTTCACCATTAATCCCTAACAGTGAAATCTCCCTTTAATAATAATAATAATAATAATAATAATAATAATAATAATAATATTTATTTGTATACCGCCCAATGGTTTCCCAATCCTTATGTAATGGGAATTGTTGTGTTACTGTGTGCCTTCAAATAAGTTCTGACCCTAAAGTGACCCTGTAAGATTTGTTCAGAGGGAATTTGCCCTTGTCTTTCCCTTCCTCTGAGGCTGAGAGAGCGTGACTTGCCCAAGGGCACCCAATGGGTTTCCATGACTGAACAGGGATTCAAACCCTGTACTCCAGAGTTATCATTCAATATTCAAACCACAGCACCATGCAGACTCTGTAACAGGAATTGCAACTGCATTTATTTCTCCAGATAAGTTAACATTTTAATTTTTATCAAGCATACAACTGAAGGCATATAGTGGATTTGCAGCAACAGCAACTTAAGGACTTAAAATCCTTAGTAAAAGCCCAATAAGCTGGCCTAAGGTAATTTCTGTACCTTTTCAACAACTGCTTTCAGTAGCTAGTTCTTTGTATTTTCTGAAGATCATAAAAATACCTTACAAATGCTATTCAACATAATCTTCCTATGGTATCTGGTACCTTGCTTATTTTAATGGAATAAGTAACTGATCAGCAATCTAAGTATGCGATTTTTGGTATTTTATTCTCAGGCATATAAAATTATTGTTAAGAGTCATGGGTTTCACTGACCATTGCCTCGAACTGACAACAGCCAGAGTATTTACTGGAAGGACAATGAATACAATTGACATGTGTAATGTTTGCAGTTAGATCTGGGCTAAATTTTACATGTGTACTTCCCAGCTCCACTCAGGGACCAGCCACACTAATCCTTTCAACCCATTTTCTTTAACATAATATACCATAAAAATGCCCATTCCTCTCCCTTCCAAACTGCAATATGATTCAACAACAGCAATTTATTTCAGTCATTGACCGTTATAAAATTTAAAATAAAAATAAAAATACAATTATGAAAACAAGAAACAAAATTAATCTCTGCCATCTAACATTAATTATTACTAACCATTTGAAGATGTATTTTATACATAATGTAGCAATTTTTTGCTACTTTAAATGTAACAATTTGGTTCTAACAATCCAACAGATAGCATAAATAAAAAACATCAGTGTGTCCCAGAAATTTCGTTAAAAGAGGGGTAATCAGATGGTGGCGAATGTCCTTATAAAATTAACAATACAAAAGTACATGAGCTGTAGTTTCTATAGCATCAGTATCACAAGGATACAATTTTCCCATATTTCCCTTACAGAACTGCTGTTGGGAGAACACTGAATGGAGCTAATGATAAAGCTCTCCTAAATTTAGGCACTGCTACATAATATGAGTATGTAGCTGGTGAGTCATTATGTTGTTTGCTGTTGTTGCATGCCTTCAAGTTATCTCTGACTTATGGTGACCCTAGGACAAACCTATCATGGCAAATTTTTTTAAGAGGGGGTTTGCCATTGCCATCCTCTGAGGCTGGGAGAGTGTGACTTGCCCAAAGTTACCCAGTGGATCTACATGGCCGAATTGGGGTACAAACCCTGGTCTCCCAGTGCCCTAGTCCAACATTCCAACCACTACACCATGCTGGTGTATGATGCTTTAAGAAGCCATACACAGAAGTCTGAATA